GTGGCTAGATTCGAGACCTTTGGAGGCCAATTCACGAGGCAAAGGAATAGCGGAATAAAGAATTATACGATTTGAGGTAAAAAAAATACTTCTTAACTTGGTTCTGAGGGTATGAATCCCCGAATTTGGTATGATATAAAATTTTTGGAGGTGACACATATGATAGGTGACGAGCATGTGGACGTGCACCATATAAATTGTGTCTTGGATAAATCTTTTGCAGTTGTAAAATTAATGAATCATGTTATTATCTGAACATTCTCCACGTGTTAGAGAAATTGAGCTGAGGCTCCTATTAAAGATCATGTTTAGGCTACGTGCCAATATTTTGGGACCCATGGGGTCGTGTTGCTGATGAATTAATTGTTACAAAATATACATTTTACACTGAGTAATATTTGTCCATTGTGAGGATATTTATGGGATCGAGCTGCGCGACACAGCAAACCATATTGGCTTTACATATATGATTACTACATAAAATGCGGCTGCCCGCCTACATCATGCTATAATGGCTTTATACATTATTATTATATAGATCGGGGATGCCCGCCTGCAAAAGGTCTTATAGGCTTTACTATTATATGAATCGGGGATGCCCGCCTGCAGCAGGCCTTATAGGCTTTACTATTTTATGGATCGGGGTTGCCCACCTGCAGCAGGCCTTATATGCTTTATTATTATATAGATCGAGACTGCCCGCCTGCAGTAGGCCATATTGTCTTTATATCACGCTTGGGCTGAAGGAGCTCCTCCGGAGTCTGTACATACCCCAAGTGAGCGTAGATGATTATATATATTCGAGATGGATTTTTCCAGGGCATGGACTTGCCTTATTTATATTGTGATGGATTTACCTGGACATGGATCTTGTCCGTATCATTTACATTTGTGGATAAAATCCCTGAGGCTGGATTGGCCTTATACGGTATTGAGTGACTGACTGTCAGTCGATGTGTATATGTATACGGGATGGAATATCCCTAGGCCAAATTGCCCATAAACATTACCGAGTGACCGAATAATTTGTGACTAGTATTACATGAGGTCTATCCACTGAGATATCATATTCCTCATATCATGTAGTATTGATTTATTTTGCTTGTACTGAGTTTAACCGTTGACCTTGAAAGCATGCCTACACTTTTGCACCATTATTTATGTACTAGACTGTACTTGCAGAGATCACCACTACTTTCAGCCCAGAGGTTAGTCCTGTTACTTATTGAGTTGGTGGTACTCATACTACACTCTGCACCTCGTGTGCAGATCCAAGTGCTTTCGGACACGACGACTGTTAGATATCAGAGTGCTATAAGTTGGAGACTATTAAGGTAGCTGCGTGGAGTCTGCTGACCTTGACTCTCTTTCCTTCAGTTATTGTACTATTCTATACTTTCAGACAATGGTTTTTATCAGTCAGACATTATATTCATATTAGATGCTCATGTACTCAGTGACACCGGGTTTTGGGAGTGTTTATATATGTATTTGTGAGATTCCTTCAACTGAATTTAAATATTATATTTTCAAACTTAAATGATATGGTAGTTTATTGAGATTGTCGGCTTTCCTAGTATTGAGATAGGCGCCATCACGACAAGTGAGATTTTGGGTCGTGACATCAGTATTACTTAGAGGCTTCATAGATAAAGTCAGAACAGAGTCATGGGTGTCCACTTTACATTTGTTTTTCAATGTATTAAAGTTAACAGAATGAATTTCTTTTCAGAATATTATTTCATTTGAAGATTTATAAAAGTATTTACTTTAAATCATATCAAATTGTGTTGAGATGCATTGCATAACAAAAATAGAACAGAATAAAGAAGCCAAGATGGTTCGCCCAGTCAAGTTACGGCACCAAGTGCCAGTTACGACTTGGTTAGGAATCAGGTCATGACAACAATATTTCGCTAAGGGGTTTCGTACTTTTTATATAGTATAGATTAGTTTAGTCGTAGACATGAATTCCATGCGGCCTAATATTCAAATTTTTCTAATTTGGATTTCTTTTATATGGGTTCCAATTGATTTATTTTTATTTCTTAGGCAAACATACAACCTGAATCGAATTGTGAAATGGAAGTTGGGTTTATGTAGTTGTAATAAAGAACAATAGAACATTTATACGGATTTTGAGTAAATTCCACCATGTGTTGGTAGGAAATGTTATAAAAAACATGGCATTAATGATACCTATGAATGAATATTGGTCAGTGCTGCGAGCATGCGAGTTGTGTAGTATGTTAAGTGATTATATTTGGGGTTATGGTTATGACTTGATATAGCTTGTTCATACTCATACAATGTGTAGATGTGAGATTCAGGTCTTGAAAAGAAATTCTGAATGTTGGAAATTGAATTCCAAGGTTTATGGGCTAAGGTTGAAGTAATGATTTTCAATTATGTTGTGTTGTCAGGCATATACAATTTACACAGAATAGGGTGGCGTGGGATCACCCTCGGGTATGTGCGTGGGAGATGGAATAGTGATGTGATGGCTTGGAAATAACTCTTGGCACGTTCGAGGACGAATGTATGTTTAAGTGGGGGAGAATGTAACGACCCGACCGGTCATTTTAAGTATTACAACCCCGTTTTCTCATTTACTTCTCAATTTATACTTTTACAATTGTTTTATGACTTACCGAGTTAATTGGTTCGGGTCTGGTGAGGTTTTGGAATGAATTGGAACACTTAGTCCCAAGGTTTAAAGTTTAAGTTAAAACAGTGGCCAGATATCGACTTATATGTAAACGACCCCGGAATAGAGTTTTGATGATTCCAATAGCTCTGTATGGTGATTTTGGACTTAGGAGCGTGTCCGAAAAATTATTTGAAAGTCCGTAGTGGAATTTGATTTGAAATGGCGAAAATTAAATTTTCGGGAAGTTTGACCGGAGAGTTGACTTTTTGATATCGGGGTCGGAATCCAGTTCTAAAACTTTTCATAGCTCCTTTATGTCATTTATGACTTGTGTGCAAAATTTGAAGTCATTCCAGATTGATTTGATATGTTTCGGCACAAGATATAGAATTTGAAAGTTTAAAATTTATAGATTTTGATTTGAGGTGCGATTCGTCGTTTTGATGTTGTTTGATGTGATTTGAGGCCTCGAGTAGGTCCGTGTTATGTTATAGGACTTATAGGTATATTTGGTTAAGGTCCCGAGGGATTCGGGTGAGTTTCAGATGGTTAAACAGATCAAATTTGGACTTAGAACAAAGCTGGACATTTGCCGCCTACTGATGCAATCGCACCTGTGGAGTTTGGCTCGCAGGTGCGAGCCTACAGAAGCGAGCTTGGCAAGCGCAGAAGTGGCAAGGGCTGGTGAAGCAGAGTGCGCAGGTGCGAGCATTTTACCTCACCTGCGAGGCCGCATGTGCGGAAGGAAACACGCAGAAGTGAAGGGAGCATTGTGAGCAATCGCAGAAGCGGACATTTTGTCGCACCTGCGAGACCGCAGATGCGGCTAATCTGGTCAGAGGTGCGACATGCCTTGGACAGAATAAAATTGGAGGAGTTCTGAGTTTTACCATTTTTGGACCTTCAAGCACGGGTTTTGGGGTGATTTTCAGAGAGAATTCAAGGGAAACTTGAGGTAAGTCACTTGTGATCATTTCTACTTCTTAATATTGAATTATAATCGAATAATCTGACTAAATTACGTGTTTTTGAGGTGTAAATCGGGGATTTGAAAATAAGATTTGAGAGTTTGGAGGTCGAGTTGAGGTTGGATTTTGGTAAAATTTATATGGTTAGACTCGTGGTTGAATGGGCTTTCGGATTTTGTAACTTTTGTCGGGTTTCGAGACGTAGGCCACACGTGCGATTTTTGAGCTAAATTTTAAATTTTATTGGAAAATTAGTATTTTCTTATGAAATTAATTCCAATAAATTTTATTGACTAAATCGAATTAATTGTGACTAGATTCGAGGCGTTTGGAGGCCAATTCATGAGGCAAAGGCATAACGGAATAAAGAATTACACGATTTGAGGTAAATAACACTTCTAAACTTGGTTCTGAGGGTATGAATCCCCGAATTTGGTATGATATAAATTATTTGGAGGTGACACATATGATAGGTGACAAGCATATGGACGTGCACCATATAAATTATGTCTTGAATAAATCCTGTGCAGTTGTAAAATTAATGAATCATGTTATTATTTGAACATTCTCCATATGGTGGTTTATTGAGATTGTCGGCTTGCTTAGTATTGAGATATGTGCCATCACGACATGTGAGATTTTGGGTCGTGACATCAGTATTTCTTAGAGGTTTCATAGACAAAGTCAGAATAGAGTCATGGGTGTCCACTTTACATTTATTTTTTAATGTATTAAAGTTAACAGAATGAATTTCTTTTCAGAATATTAATTCATTTGAAGATTCATAAAAGTATTTACTTTAAATCATATCAAATTGTGTTGAGATGCATTGCATAACAGAAATAGAACATAATAGAGAAGCCAAGATGGTTCGCCCGATCAAGTTAAGGCATCGAGTGCCAGTTACGACTTGGTTAGGAATCGGGTCGTGACAACGACATTTCGCTAATTAGGGATTTCTTACTTTTAATATAGTATAGATTAGTTTAGTCGTAGACATGAATTCCATGCGGCCTAATATTCAAATTTTTCTAATTTGGATTTCTTTTATATGGGTTCCAATTGATTTATTTTTATTTCTTAGGCAAAAATACGACCTGAATCGAATTGTGAAATGGAAGTTGGGTTTATGTAGTGTAATCAAGAACAATAGAACATTTATACGGATTTTGAGTAAATTCCACCATGTGTTGGTAGGAAATGTTATAAAAAACATGGCATTAATGATACCTATGAATGAATATTGTTATGGGTGCAATAAAAAAAGTAATAGTATTACGGGAATTGTGAATTTAATAGTTAAAACAGAGAAAAACATAATTGCTTGTAAAGAAATATAAGTTCACCTTGCTCTTCAAATAAAGAAATTATATAAATTACCCTTTGAAGATTTGAAATGTGACGTTTCTATTTCATCTGAAATTTTATTTTATTTCACAGGGGGTGAAAAAGGAGATATTATCACGCAAACAAACACATATTGTATGAAAAACCTTTTTTTCTGGTACATTGGAAGACTAAAAAGATTTAAAATCGTTCGTAAGCTACTTGACTTAAATCTGATAGGAGAAGAAACTCCATATCCTTGATCGCATCTTTCCAGATTAGCAAATCTTATTCATCCAAGTTCAGAAATAAAGCCTCTTTGACTTAAATACCTTGTTCCCATTTGAACTGTAAAAACTAATCCAAAAGCAAAAGAGTGAACTTGTTAAAACCACTTATAGGTAATATAGATGTTATTAATTTATCAAGATCAATTTTATCAAGTAACAACAGACGTTAAGATAAAAAAAGATTGCATATTCCTAATTTGAAACGATCATATTAGATGAATTAGTGCAAACAGTCTTGAGAGGAACGGGCTTCTAAGTAACATTTGGTATAATAATCTACCCCAAAATTTGTACTATGTTATTCATCTGGTGTAATAGGCAAGTTAACACAGAGCCTTTTATTGCTTATTTTCACTTTTTCCTTAAAAAACCATAAAAGAACAGAGAAATCATGAGGGAGAACGAACCTCAACTTCATCTCGTACTCAGCTTTCTCCACAGTCTCAAGCTGTGCTGCGTCAATTGTTTTATCTTTTTCCCGACCTCCCTACCATAACAACACAGATATTTTTATGTAAAAGTTAAAATAGAGATTTTCCCCTAATATAACAATCAGAGTAACGCAAAGATCTCCCCAAATATAACAATCAGAGAGCCAAAGAAGTTTAGGTACATGTCCTTGTTAAAGACTCTGATTAACAAGTGTGAACAAAGGAAATAAGAATTAAAATATTCATCTTCTCAAATGAAACATGATATATCAACAAAGCTCTAAGGTCCGTTGGGGCTTAAGCGCAAATAAAACATGAGCTTTATAATGAAGAAATGCACAAATAGAGAAAAAACACAAATATGTATGTGCAATCCAAGATTAATAATTATAAGTATGAATAACAAATATATGGACAAAGAAATTGAAAAACGAATTACGATAAGTGAAATATCAATTATTTGGGGTAGTCTCTTCATGGTTACGCTCATTGGCAAGGAAAAGTATACCTTAGAGCCTTGATGACGACACTGAAGCGCCTTCTAAGCGAGGCGAAGCGCTCAACATGTTTTGTGTCTCACTTCAGGGCTTAAGCTAGCTTTAAGAGTGCCTTTGCTGATATCAACTGAAAAGGATGAGTAACTAATTAAAGATACAAAATCGTTTATTTCATTGAGAGCCAATTAAATTGTAAAAAGAACCATCATAAATGAACAAGTCTAAAATACAAATTTGAATCTAGCATAGAAAGCTAACATTCAAGACTTGAAAATGGGATTTTAGAGAACTGTTAAGATAACAGATGCTCAGGCGGGTAAAGCAATTCTGTCTTAACTGAGCATAAGAAACTTCAATCAAGTTTATAAATTACTTTCCAAGGTATCAATATAAGTTGTTATATTTTCAAGAACTTTCATTTTTAACATGGAAGATTAACTTTCATCTCCATTTCCCTCAATCTTTACACTTTAGCGTTTACAAATTTTCAAGCTCAAATTCTTGATTATCGAGTACTTTAAGGAAATAATTGGATTAAGATCACACAATTCCAGGATCTGATTTGAGCATAAAAAATTATACTTGTAGGCATCCTTTAACTCACCATGGTTAATCGTGGCGCAAAACAAGCACAGACAAGATGGAGAATCAATTGACTTAAACTCATTGTTGATATGTACATCACCAATTGATGAGCTCCTGCAAGTAAATAGGGGAAAGAAAACGAAAAAGGAAAATATATTGGTCTTGGAAGATGACTTTGTTGCTTCCAAACTTGCAACTTACTTTCATTAGAATGTGACCTTTGTTTCTAATGTTATTACAGTATGCGACAGCAACTGGCTCCATCGGTCACGGAGTCATGGTGTTCACTATTGTCAGATCTGCTCCTCCTTATCCCAATGGAATGTTCTGTTGGTTCATTGTTATTTTCCCTCATTTGTAACAAGGCCTCAACCTCAGGTTCTTCTTTATACAACAAACGAAGTCCATACTTCTTCACTTTTCCAGAAAAAGATAGCCTAATAATCCCATAGTCATTTGGTGTTTTTCCATTTGCCTTAGATGTATCCCATAAGCCAGCAAAAGGTACAAAGAATAAATGTATATCATAGTCTCCACAGAAACAACCTAATTCTGAATGGTTGGATAAGGCAAGTTTACGGGTCTTCCACGACATCCCGTCATCACATAGAATCAATTGAGCTGTGGCGTCAACTAATCTGCAAGAGTAACATAGAGCAAATCCCAAGAATTTATGAGGTATATACCAATTTTCAGGCAAATTGACTGATACACTACTATCCGTTCCCTGATGGTGGAACCAACTTGGGATCTTCACCTCAATAAGCACACAGATATAATGCATACTGGTAAATACTCTTAGTGACAAGGAATCTGAAGCAGAGATGTCATGCTGCAATGACGAGATATTCTGAAACAACAAATTACAGATGAAATCATTGCTCCAATCTACATATATTGTATCTAATTCTGGTGGAAGTTCTGGCAGCTGTGTAAGCCTCTGGCAATATGATAAGTCTAAGGATCGAAGAGCACCAAGTTGGGCTATGCTTCGAGGCAAATGCTCAAAATTATTTCCATGGAGATTCAATTCTTTCAAAGAGGATAAGGATCCAATATCTTCCGGAAGTCCTCCATCTATTAGATTGCAGTACCCGAGATCCAGAATTTCCAATGAGCGTAATCCTTCAGCCACCGGAGGGAACTCAAAGTGCACTCCATTTCTGAGCATGATGGAGGGCTCAGAGATGGCGTGCTCAGAGATGGAGTTTAACTTTCTAAAATCCAAGATTTTAAGTTTGTTCAAGCGTACGATGGTAGACGGAGGTCGTGAAATTAGAGTATCTCTGGCATCAAGCTCCTCCAAGTTGTCCAAATCCCCTATCTCTTCTGGCAAGCTTTCCAGTTTTGAGCAATCCGACACACTCAGACTAACCAAACTTTTCAACCTAGAGATGCTGCTTGGAAGAGCTACAAGTTTTTCCATACCGCTCAAATTTAGCTTGGTAATATGAGTTTGGTACTGAGTAATAGATGATGGTAGTTCGCTTATCCTACAGCCTTCCATGTCAATCTGTATCTCCGGCTTCATTCTCCCGTGACTTTCTGGAAATTTCTCTAAACTTGAGCAATTTTCTAAACACAGATATTCAAGAGATTCCACGTTAACACATGGAAACCTCTTAAGGCTTTTACAATAATACAAATCTAACTGAATGAGTTTTCTACAACGCCCCAGAGAATGGTGAACCTCTTCAAGACTAGTACATCCATGCAGATTCAAATACTCCAAATTTGGTATCCCCGTGAAATCCGGTGTTCGCATCAGGCTTTTAGAGGAGCTGAGATTTATCCTCCGTAGAGACAGCAAATGCTGTTCATAACACAGACAGAATGAGAACCAATTTTGCCGCATGATTCCAATAATAAAATATTTGGTTAGTGGGGCTATCTATAAATTTAGAAACTGTTTTATTTTTTCATTTGTATTTGTGGGCATCAAATGACCTGTGTTTTACTTGAATTCTTAATTACTTACTCTCTCGACAAAAAATGAATGATAGCATTTGAATTATGAGGGCAAACACGTTATTTTGTGCAACATTAGAAATTTATTTTGTATATATGAAAAATTACTTGTTAAGAAACTGAATACTAGTAAATTATAAATAGAAATATTGCTAACTATAATTTAACATGATTGAAAAAAACTGTAGCAAAGAGAAAAGTGTTTTTCTCAAGAAGTGTAATATAAAATGGAGAAATTCAAATGTTAAATCCAGCAATGTATGAAAGCGTATATGTCATTCGAAAATATAGTTGTACACAATAAATTCCTTTTGTTTTCCTAATAAGTATTCCTTCCGTCCCACTATGTACAGCCCTAGGATGAGATTCATATGAATCTAATCTTACTATGAGAAATAATTGAATGAGTTCTTAAATTGAGCTTCTTAGTTAAAATGATGATGGGAAGATTTGAAAAAAAAGGACAGAAAGATCTTACAGTAATATTGAGAACAACCACAAATAATATAAAATACAAAAATTTCTTTTGAGATGGAAATACATTAATTTGAGCTTATTAATTAATACTCCCTCCGGTCCATAATAAATGACATTTTGGCCATTGGCACACTCCTTAAGAAATACTAACTCCTAAAAAAAAGTATTTTGACTAAATTATCCTTAATTAAAATTAGCATATTGTTAACTTGAAATATTCGGATTTGTAAACAAGGGCAAAGTTTGGAAAAATAAAATTAATTTTTTCTTGATGATGTAAAATGTCACTTATTTTGGACAAAAATAAAAAGGCAAAAAAGTCACTTATTATGAATCGAAGGGAGTAACTTCTATTCATTTAAAGACATGCACCATAATCATCATACTATATTATAAGCATGAACACTTTTAAGTGAAGTTAGTTTACTAAAATGCCCTTCAAAAGCTGAATGGCCAAATTACCCTCTAATTATTAAAATTACCTCCCACCATTTTGCCCTTCCTTTTAGTCTTACTCCTACAATATCCTTGTACTAAAAGGTAAATGTACCTTCCAAGCAAAAAATAATTTATACCGCAATAAATGGCTGGATAAATAAGTAGACATAATTCAAGCTACTTTCAGTTAATGACTTCCATAATGAATATATGTTCACAGCAGGATGAGGATAATCCATTTTCTTTATCACTTCTTGATTTATTTTCTTGGTTTTATAGATAATTTTGATTGCCAAATTAATTAGTGATATTACTTACANAATATATATATATGATCTTGTTTGGAGGTTGAATGCGCGATGTTCAAGGTAACTGGACATTCAAGGCATGGTCAGACTAAACTTTTCCTCGTTTTTTTGGTTAATGGATTAATTAAGAGCATGTGATAATATTGTTTAGTTTTATTCTGTTTGATTTTATTTCTTATAACATCTTTTAAAAATATGAATGTCTCCCGTGGATTAGCTCTTAAATTAGAATCGTGGATTTTATCTCACACTTTAATTTCGAATTTCTATATTTTTAGTACACTTCATTAGCATACCGTAAAAATATGACGAATATGCATGCCAACTCAATGCACTAAAAATTACTGCTTTAAAAGCTGATTTGATGAAACTTGGATTAATTATTGATTTCCTTAAAAATTTCTTTGAAAATCGATTATTCAAAGATTCGACGTTGTAAATCGTGCACTAAATAAAACTTAACATGAAATCATGCAAATTTATGCTAATCGGACACATTTTTATTATTATTTATATGATTTGTAAAATTTTTACTCATTCTGGATATATACGCGTAATGTGAGTGCCCATTAAATTGATCCTAAGAGAAAAATGGATATAGAAGAGATCCATATAAGAATCGTCATTGATTGCTTGATGAGCTTATATAAATGGATTATAAATCAGTAACATGCATAAGCATCACCACTAGAAGAAATAGTAGAGGAAATCTGCAGATTTACCAGGTAATTTTTTATCTCCTATGTTATATGAAATTCTTACTCTATTTTTTGCTAATTTTTATTAAGCAATACTCTCCACTGTTATTAACCATTTTGCTGCTATGATGAATAGAAAATTAAGTTATTTTCTACTTGACTCTACACTTGAAGCTTTATTTACAAAGCTCTTATGCGCTTATAGACCATTATTTAATAAATTTCATGTTTAGCATCTTATTCACTACTTATATGTTAAAATGTGCCTGAGTTTCCCTTAGTGTTTTCTTTCTATGATCGGCTGCGCAAAATTGTGTTTTAATCCAATAGATGACATGCTTAAAGTATATTTTGCGTATTGCTTTCTAAGTATTAATGTTTGTTGTTGATTTATTTAATTAAAAATTCTAATGCGTGGAGCTTCTTCCTTTTTAAAGGTTCCCCAGGATTTATGGTGATTCTGGTTGATGACACAACACACATGGTAAAGGCAATTAGTGAATTCGTTAGGTCCTGTTCTTTCTTGTATAGTTGTATCGGTTTTACAAAGTCCCCTCCCCTCTCCCACCCCCCACCCCAAATTTTTTT